CTATTTTTGCATAGCAGGCCCCGCTGACTTTGACTGTGGAGACATTAGCACTGTAATAGATAAAGGGTAACTCTGTAGTGGGATGTGAAGCGGCCAAACAGACTCGGCGAAGCGGTGACAAAGGACAATCTTGGGACCAATGTCCCAGCTTCTCGTATTTAAAGCAACACTGCGAGTTACACGTGGCGGCAAAATGGCCCTCTGCTCCCCATTTCCGGCACGTTTTAGGCTGCAAAGGATACTAGATCCTTGCAAATTGCCCAGCGATGAAAATTGAACTAAAGATGGGCGTCAAAAGTGCCATTCTCGCTGTTCGCACGCCGTAAAAAATCCCCTCCTCCTCGCGGTCTTGGCGAAAAAAAAAAAGAGCTCGCCATAATGACAGAGACACCCAATTACTACCGAATCAGGCAGTTCGGACGGATTTTCATAGAGTTTTACAATGGTAACCTTGTTCTCGCAATCCCCCAAAAAGACAGTGCAGTTGATAATGGTAATCCAAGGCCCGTTTAGCGCGGCCTCCTTCGCTTCTTTTGAATCAAAAGAAACGACCCACGTGTTGTTGGACGCTTTACGCTGAATAGAAATTATAGCGTCAATGTCAATTCCAGCTTCGTCAAATCCAGCAATGATATCTTGACTCGTGACGACCTCGTCTACCGAGAAAGTAAGAGAGTGCTACTTCCCAATCCTTGCATTTTGTCCATCAAATTTCGACAACGTGAACGCAACTTTTTGAAAACTGTGGCCCGCATGTTGAAGATCCCTAATTACTCCAGGGAGTTCAGGGGCGTGGACCCACGCGCTTGTAGAACTCTCGGGAGGGGAACTTGTTGATGAGCAAGAAAAAATATAAAACGGGAGTTGCGCATGAATCACCCATAACACCATCTGTGCTACGTCTTGGCTCTCGCACTGGCTCGGAAGCATCATTTTAAAATGTCGTTTGGCTTGGGAGGGGGTAATGGCCTTTGGCGTTGTTAACAAAACGGCCGCTCTTACTTCGACTTCTGGCCTATGAGCATAGGATGATCATTAGGCTGTTACTCATTCTATAATGCGTTTGATATTTTATTATTCAACTCATTTCAGATAGCCCACATGTGGTAGTAGAATTTCTGTCCCCCCATGCGAACATTTACGAGAGCACGCATGTGCATTACGATGGAACGTTAAGCAATTGTCATTATATAAATAAACGAGAGTCAAGTCGCACACATGTGAGAGCAGAATTTCTGTCCCCTCATGCAAACATATATGAGAGCACGCATGCGCATTACGATAGAACGATAAACACTTGCATTTTATTAATAAACGAGAATCAAGTCGCATACATGTGGGGGTGGAATGTATGTCCACTCATGCGAACATTTACGAGAATAGGCATGTGCACTATGATGGAAAGACATTTACCTGCATTTATTTATAAACGAAAGCCACGTCGCATTTCTGTCCCCTCATGCACATTGAAACACCTTGTCAAAAAACGTACCCAAAACGCTTTTCTACAGAGTAAGATTGGAAGTGGAAAAACACTCAAAGTAAAGGAATTGTTGCCCCCGCAGGGATTTCGCCCAGAAGGCGAAATCCCGAGGAGGCACTCTAGTAACTCTCGCGTATATTAAGGAAAGTACTTACAGTTGAAATATACAGTCATACAGTCAATATAGAAAAAATCTCAATTTGCTTGAACAGGGGCCGCGAGGAATCGGTAGGTAATGATGACGTTTCTATTGTTTGCGCCCGCAAGTACGAAATGGTTAGGATGAAGTAAAGACAGAAAATCCCGAAGGGGCCGCTCAGGTAGATTTTGTGACATTTATTGTGCAGTCATACTTCGATACTCTTTTGCGTTACGCAGTGAGATTCTGTGGAGCAGTTGTTTTGAAAGTTATGGACCAAAAGACACTCGTTACGCGCAGATGAGGTTATAAGGTGCGTTTAACTGTGTATATATAAACACTTGGAGAGTTTGCCAGACACGAGTTCACAAATCTTTGATTTATATTGAAAACCTTGCCAGAGACTCTTTCTCTCTCTTTGACGGGAATAAGACTCAGCCCCAAACAAGCAAGACGAGTGAACAACGGCTAGCTTATCACTAGCAGAACGATGGACGATTACAGAAATTCGCCGACAATCAAATTCTGTTCTGACTTATTCCCTGCTCACAGATGTCTTGCCGTTATAAAGTGTCAAATAAGACTAGAATGCGTGAGCGTGAATCGATCAAACGTCCTTTTAATTTCTAAGGCTTACTTTCCGGCAAATAATTAAGAGGCAGTCTCCCTAAAAGCGTTCCACTCGATTTTGGACTCGAAAAAACCTTGCCTTATAATTTTACCATCAATACTACTATCCATCCTATTAACGAAATTGCAGTTAGAATGAGGAAATTATTTATTTTACTGCCATTCCCAGCATTTCATTGCCGGACGGCCGTTAGCGGCTAAAATATGCAAATTTTAGTCTCTGTTATACAGGTTTTTTTAACGATCGTTCTAAAGTTCTTCGGGTCATCAAATCCTAGACTATTTGCACTCGTTTGGAAGCATATTACTTCTTCTTACTGTTCTAATACCGTTTAGGCATTATCTTTCTGTAATCAGCAAAAACTGGTCGTCTTTATTTAAGAAAGCAAACGGTACGAAAAAATGCCTCAAAATCATCAGAAAATTCTCAAAAGTGGCAGCTAAACTAGACCTAAAAACATGTTTTAGTTAAAGATTAATAGCGGTTTTGTCAATTTATGCAATAAAACTTGTGGCACAACGCGATTCAGAATTGAAGGTTTCAACTCAAATTTAGCCAAATGCTCAATTTGCGTTGCGTGACGATACCGGCTGCTGTCACAGCAAAATCCTCTGTTATTCAAATACTTGCCACTTTTAAGTAAGATATGCCTCATTTTCCCACCAAAACCATATTAAAATTCCCTTTTTCCCTTTGCCAATGATATATATTGTTTAAAAATTAGTTCAGCAAGTAAAAGGTACCTTTTCAAGCCCCGAACATTTGTGTTAAGTCTGTTATGCCAAGACGGAAAAATACCTTTTCAGAACCAAACCTCTTCTAGCTTAAAATGTGGTCCAGTCTGAAAAAAAACTGCACTGACCAGAAGTTACTCCGATCCAGCAAATCATAAAATCGAACGTTAGAAGAAAAGTAAATTTCCCACGGCTTAATTAAATATGCGTGAACAGGTCAGAAAATGTTTGACTTGTACTTGGCCCCATGTAAGGGTATCCGAATTCCGGAACCTGGAAAAAGTTTGCTTGTAGGATCCGGAATCCGGGAAAATTTTGATATGGAATCCGGAATCCAGGGCTTTGGAATCCAGAATAGAGCTCACTGAGTACCCTACTAAGGAATGAAATCTAGAATCCAAGTTCCATTGGGATCCAGAATCCAAGACTGTCTTGTATTCCCTAACATGTGGCGATAGTACTGGACTGTGAACGGCGAATTACTATTTTCCTTTTATTTGCCTTCCACTGATCAGGAGCCCACATTTGAACACTTTGTTAATGAAATTTCAGTTAGAAGGTTTCTTTCTTTTACTGACTGTTTCTTCCTATTAAGAGTGGTCAGCTTTTGTTTTCACGCTCCAAGAGACAGTCCGGAGTCCAAGGCTACTTTCGTATCGCAGGTAGTTAATAAAGAAGTTGGCACAGGCAAATAATAAAGTTTCAACATTAATTTCGAATCGTGCAACATCAGTGAAAGTAACAAGAAAACATAGTGTGGAAGTTCACGCGGTTTTGCCCAACTGATAAAAGTACACGAATGTCAGGACACCATTACTTCTCACCATGAAACCTGTCATCCATCGAAGTCTGATCTAAGTGAAGCAGAGGCAATACTCTCAAAAGATGGTAATCATGGACCTTACGAAAAATCAAGTGGAACAGATGGTGATCTGCTTCCCCAGGAGGACTTCCCATACAAAAGTCACGTGGGTGTTCGTCGTTTGCAGATTTTGGTCTCACTTCGGTTGTTTGGGACGGAAAGTAACTAAATATGCTCATTCAGGTATCGCTTAGGGCTGTGAATAAAGAAATTTGCAAAAAAAAAAAAAAAAAAAAAAAAAAGCCGTGACGCTGTCCTCACAGAAATCTCCTTTAGGGGTCAGTTTAAGCTTGAGCCACACCCACATTGGCCTCCCTTAGGGGCAGTTGAATAATAAATTATTAATTTTCCGACGAACAGCCCCCTCACTTTATACGGAAGTCCTCCAGGGATTACCCACAAATATCGGCATATAAACTCGGGCGATTTTGGTGGCCACCTCGTTCTTCGCATAGAGGACCAAGAAAGGAATATTAGCACCAAGGACGGTCATGTAATTGGTTTGGAGAGTGCGAAGATCGTATACCATCTATTTTAAAGGATGGGATCACGTACGTATAAAACCGTAAAGTAGTTTCTAATATCCTTATCACTAGTTCCTTTATCTGTGATAAGATAACGACAAAAGGGCCAATGGGTATTGTCGTAATCGTAATTTCAAGTTCAGACAATGATAAACTCAGTAGTCCACTCAATTTTTTTTTATTTAGAAATATGCGGGAAGTGAAGATCCAAACATAATGAAGTTATGGAGGAAAGTAGGAAGTGCAAAGTCAAATATCCTGATATTAATCACTGTTGCACTATGGCATAAAGCTACACAGTCAGCTGATGCACTTACACATTTGATATCATTTTTGAATATCACAAGATAAACGCGTGAAACAGAAAGTGATAAGCGCATTCTTTGCATATCTAAACCTATCTTTAACCGAAGTTAAATTGTCAAAATCGTGATTACCTACCTTTAGGCATATTACTGAGAGTACTCATGACAATTGTTGGTACCCTGGAGAATTCATCGACTGAATTTTCTATTGAAGCCCAACTTGGACAAAAGCCTCTGAATTCGAAGAATCAGTAGAGGTGAGAACTGACGCGAAGTCTGAATCCGGCATTGTCGAAGGTTTCCCCAGCATGAACATTTCTCCAGGTCCAGACCCCTACACTCTTTTTACGTCTTTTCTCGTCTCAAGTCTTGTTAGCGGCTATTACCCTGTTCTTACAGACCCTTGCATTCTACCACGTTAATGACGTAAAAATACATACATCTGAACAACAGCTGAAGGATCTAGGATCACATTTTCAAAAATCGGCCTTTGGACCCTCCGTGTGGATCCAAATTCATATTGATATCGATTTTACTAAATAAGGAGCCACCGCGTTTATCATTTCGTTTTTGCGACTCCGGTGCGGCGCTCATTTGATACACCAGCCTACCGCGGACAATGTTGC